GGAAGCCAAGAACGTGTGCTAGATCCAAGTGCAAAGGATTTGAGGGCTTCATGTGTGAAAGAGACTGTTTTTTGTGAGGGTTCTGCGAGACTGGAGAATAGGGGGAGCTCTTCATGCTTTTGACAACACAAGTATGATGTTACTGAGAGCTCATTGCTCTGTTCATTTAGCTGTCGTTAGAAGGTAATTGATTTTTGTACTCAACTATTCGGAAACTGTAATGTATGTGACTCAGAACTCATTACTCCCCTTTTTTATACATCTTTGAATGGTTTTAACTTTTAAGTACTTGAATTTGGATGCATTAGAATGCATCTTTTGAAGTATAACAAGAAAGGTGATTAATATTTGAAGACAACTTAATGCTTTCTTTGGCAGCAACAGCCATTAGTATATTTTTATATTTTGACACTCTTGAATGTTTTGTATGTTGGAAAAGGTAATAGTGTTTAATTTGGTACCTTATGGTCATTTTCATCCTCTAAAACGGTGCTTTTAACTTCTTGGTTGCGCTAGGTTAATTGATCATAAGATGGACCCAATTTGAATGGATGAAAATGTTGTCGAGGAGTATCAATACTCTATAATTTCAAAACTATTCTAAAAAGCAACCATGAAGAACACTCTTCTAAAAAACAAAAAACTACTCTATAATTTCAAATGTGAATGTAAGTGCCGAAATATAGGTAATTTGGGATCTTAATTGGATATTTTCCAAGAATTCAATACACAATTTTACAATATGAGAGCATTTTTGTTTCGCAAAGCAACACTTATCTTTTTGTTATCGTGATAAATAAAACACAACACTATGCGTTTTAAATGGTTTTTGTGTTATCATAGATCCATGAGACTCTTTAGCCCAATCTTCAAGTATGCTATTATCTCTGTTTCTTTCATCTTTCACTTTTCAATCATTGGTGAAATTTGGCTCAAGATCGATGTAGTGTTCCTCATTAGTATAGGAGGAAAATACATGAATACAACGAGTTTTCTGAACTTTTTTTATGATGAAGAGAATTATAAATTTTTTTGATAATTTAACAAATTGTTTGCGCCGAGAAGCGTGGGCCAATTGACTAGTTTATATTATGGAAAATCTTGGGTAGGGTGGTGGAGATGATAAAGGTGCATGTTTGGATTCTAGAGGTTTTGGATTCAAACTTTGATAGTTGTCATTTTTACGTTACTTTTTTGGTGGTCACTAGTAAGGCTTTATTTCCGATTAAATTATTCTTATGAGTTTATCGGATATTCATAGAGGTCAAGATTTTCTTTTTTACTAATTTACCTTATAAACATAATCAAAACTTAATTATCTTAATTAAAATAAGTATAAAAACTTGATAAGATTCACGTACGAAGCATTAACGAGTGCTGACGACCTGACAATCAGGTCGGTGTTTGGGGTGATTTTGGGTTACGTACTGCTGAAGTTCTTTCACTATTGTATCAATGAAATAAAGTAATAAACATCTTCCCATGAGATTAATTTTCTGTCAGGATTGTTTCTCTGCAGATGGGAAATTAAAGGATCAGACAAAGCAAGAAAACGAGAACAAGAACGAATACGACACAAGGATTACGTAGTTCGCTAACACAATGTGTGTTATCTAGTCCACGGATATGAGAGAGTCAGTTTCATTATACTTCGAGAAGATACAGATAATAGAGGAGTATGAGAAGTATTTATAGTACTTATTTATATGATCTAACCCTAATTATCGTCAGATAGTCCAATTCAATTCACATCAATATTAGAGTTTAGACTAGACAATTAATCTTGGCATCTCAACATCATGTGGCTTATTTCGTCAGCAAAGTGAAAAAGAAGATTGATTGATTGGGATGCGAAACATTTTGCTTAATAGGAGGTTAACTATGGAGTAGACATAAGATCAGGGAACCCCAAAAGTGTACTTTCTGTGAGCTGTATCACTAATGACTAATCTATGGCATTTAAATTGCCTTTTCTTTTTAGTGTGAGTAGAGTAAAAGGAAGGCTCTCTTTTTTATTTCTTGCTCTTACCAGAAAAACTCACTCGCAATAATACAAGGATCGGACCCGCCACCTCTGTAATTGCTCATAATATATATTATTCCTCTAATTTATATGAATTAAACTTGGGTTTCATGCAAGTTGAGTAGTTAGTTGATTGGTGCTAAATTTCAAGAATTGTGACACCGTATTCGAGATTTTTTCTAAAAACATTTGTGATAGAGTAATTTATTTTGAAATCGTGGTACAATTGTTTATACGGCTAAAACTTCAGAAAATCTCTTATTTCAGCAGGCAAATTTTTCGGCCGCCCCATTAGTACATTTTGATATTTTAATTTGGGATTCAAAATCAACTATGAATAACGCTAAACCAAATCCTCATTATCAATAAATTCTATATTGCAATTGGAAATTTTGGTGTGGTTGAATACATTTACAAAGAACCAAATTGGCAAATTCCTTCCTTCTTTCCTTCACGCGTGCCAATCATTTGCAAATCGCCAATATGTTCTTCTGTATTTTCTATAAGGTATAAGAATGCTCTTGTTGTTGATTGTTGTTGTTGCACCATCTTCTTTCTATTATTAAACAGGTTCCAATGGAGGACAAAAGGAGAAGAGGTGGATATCCATACTCACAATTTGTGGATAGTGGGTTGGGTGTGGGTAGCAATTTATTGATTTTTGTTATTAGTGGTTAACCACTACACACAACGGTTTACCTACAAACCCCACATTCAGCACATTAGTTATATTTATTTCTTTAAAATACTTTGTTATCCACATTAACCACATTAGTTGTATTAGTTTGTGAAACTTGGAAGACTAAGAGTTGAAGTAGCTACCAAAATCAAATATGCACTTATTCTATAAAACAAAACCAACTCAATACGCAATGTTCATGTGATATACTTTTATTAAATAAGAATTGTCCTTGTGGTATATATTTATTTTATAACAAAACCAAGTCCATAGATATAGTCAGATAAATTAATTGATTCGTTAAAAGAGGGGAATAATTGATAAAGATTAGTCCGATACCCAAAATCATCTCCATTTCTCCACGAACTCTCGAATAACACAACATGCAACCAACTACCAACTATACAAGACTATAATCGAGAGTGGAGAATAATCGATTCATTAAAAGCGGGCGCCTCCACTTATCGAGCCACTTTTGTGTTTTGCTGTTGTTGCCATCGGAGGAGCCGTGGCATGCAACGATGTTAGTATGGTAACATATCACTCCACCTCTCCGTTATCTTCAAATCTCTTTCCAAATCCATCTTTTATGAATTTACACTAACTAACCTATTGTATTCGAGATTTATAATTTAACACTTTATTAACTATCTTTGTGTATGTTTTTGTTTTTGTGTGAGAAGAAACACAACATCACTATTTAATTACCATATTATTATATTTAATGTGAAATTTTTGTGGGTATCCACAACCAACCCGCAGCGGATAGTGGTTAACCACTACCCACTGCGGGGCGGGTTGTGGGTAGCATAATTTTATATTTGTGGATGTGGTTACCCGCAAAATGTGGGGCGGGTAACCACACTCACCCCAATTTCCACCCCTAGCACGTGTGGAAAGGTCGAGGATGAGTTTCGGGTCGATTGGAGGTCGAAAAGTGCCAAAAAGTGACTGTGACAATTGCCGCATAACAGTGAAGCGCATGCGTCCATGAAGCAGCCGCAGTTCACGGTCCAGCATTGGAGTTCACGGCCTCCCAAGATCGTGAACTGGAACCTCAAACCGTGAACGGCGAGGCATCCAACTAGGTTCCAGAGGTTACTGACGACCAGGCAGTTCACGGTCTCTAAGACCATGAACTTTGAGTGCAAACCGTGAACCCTGAAGACGACGCTGAATTCACGGACGCGTTAAGGTGTTCACGATCGTGAACAGAGGCCGTGAACTGGGCTCGACCTGGGTATAAAAACAGCAGCATAAGGAAGAAGAAAGGGGAGCTGGTTTTTGGAGAAGGAACACTTTCTTTCTCTAGGGTTTCAACCCAAAACACCAAAGGGGAGTTCTAGTGAGAGATATAGAGAGAGAGAGAGAGAGAGAGAGAGAGAGTGTGTGTGTGTGATCTTGGAGCTTAATTAAAGGCATTGATCAAGTTTGGAAGCTAGGAATCAAGCTTAGAAGAAGATGATGAAGATCTAGAGGTTTCTTTGTAATCTCTCCTCTCTCTCTCTCTCTAAAAACTCACCCTCTTCTCTTGGGTTAAGAACCCTAGATCTAGATTTGGGTTTAATGTTGATGTATGTGACAAACTCCATGATTGATTGATGATTTTACTTAATTGATGGATGTTTTCATGAATGGAATGAGTTGGATTTCCATTTTCATGTATTGAGCTTTTGACCTAGGAGGGAGATAATCCCTTAGATCCCCCTTTTGGCGTCTTCGGGTCACTCCTATTGTATATTGTCCAGGTAGTCCCCGAGGGAGTTGAATAGAGCACTACCCATCCATCGATTCGCCGTTCCGGGTCATTCCCGAGGGAGTCCATCTCCAAACGGTAGTGTATTTGAGTCGATTGAGCTAGGAGGATACCCAAAATCGATCCAAAGAACGGACCTAGGACGATTCAACCCAAGAGAGCTCCTCATCTTGTAATTAGCTAGTTTAGTGGTTAGTCTAGGTTAGTTAGTTTAATTCTATCAATCACTATCCTAGGTTGGCTAGATAACGAAATGACGTGATATCGACTAACACGATATTCAATTCCCGTGGTCCAAAAATGAAGATTCGAATTCGACGATTTAAGTATAAATTAGGAGCATTCTCGATGAATCAAATTATACTCGTTACTGCGCATAAAACATTAAAATGCATGGCTGGGATTTTATTATTACAAGATTGCATGGAAGTAGTGTGGCGGCAGCTTGATTTTCGAGAGAACGAATGGGTGGCAATTCTTAAAGTGAAAAGCTGGCATTTTGGTTTGGTGACGTGGCATGGAAGGAAGCTTGCAATTGGAATTAAAACAAGAGGGCATTATTCTGGGCACGTGTGTTCATTTGGGGATTTGGTACATTATTTAATTGGATCAAGGGCATGTGGAGTTGCATTATTCAAAAGCCTTGTCCCATGATACAAATAGTGTCCATTGGCAACCATTCCACTTACAAACTGCTCTGATGCGCTTTGTGTCATTCTGCTTCAACTGTACTTTTTTTTTTCCCTTAATAGAATGATTTGTGATAGCTTTCCGGACCTCGTCCATTGCCACAAAGGTCATTCCTAGCTCGAAATAAGGTATATCTGTGTTGGTGTTGAAGGATGTTAGCCTACTCTTTCTCCTCAAACCGCTATCAACAACGTCATCTTCACTATCTGTATCATCATATGAACCCATCTCATCGATCTAAATCCTTCTTCACTGCCATCATCATTGCCATGATCTTTGTGTAGATTACGTTGCTCATTATCAGGATCAAACTGACTATCTAAGTAGGTAAGAGAGATACCCTTCTTTAACCTTTCTTTCACCTCTTTAACATTCTTCCTAATCTCTTCCACTTCTTCAAGCTCGTCATCACTAATTCCTGTGACATCGCCAAACATCCGGTCTTCATCGTCATCTGAGTGAGGTGTTTCAAGGTCTTCTGTATGTTCTTCAAATCTCGATTTTGTCGCCTTTGATGCAGCCTCATCTTCCACTTCAACATATGTTAGGAACGGAATCATATACTTCCTTACCATCATACGAATGCAGCAATGACCTTATACTATCATCATTCACAATAAGAACAAAACCCATTTACTCCACTTTCAGCTTGTTCCTTATAATATAGCTTGAAATTGTTCTTGTGGTTCTCTTCTTTATGTAAAACAACCATTAAATCCATAAGATTGATTTCATCTAGGTCTATATACTCTGCTTGAATCAACTCCCCTCCTTCATATTTGCAATCACCGTGACCAATCACACGCCTACCCCCAATGTGGTATAACAAGGTTACCATCATTAACGAAAACCTGCAAATTGGTAAAATGAATAAAAAAATAATTCAATGCAAAAAGTCAGTGGAAGTTTCCTCAACAACAGCTTCTTCCATTAAAAAAATCAACAAGTGACCAACAACTTAAATTAAGAAAACACTTGCTGCTTCTTTTCATTTACGCAATACCCAAAAGATTCTTAAGAAATCATTGTCAATTAGCGAGTAATATGATAAATCAAAAGTCCTCCAAACCTGTTAATAAGATCATCTTTGTCGTTAATTAGCTTAAGTCAACCTCCAAAGATTTTTTCCTGCAGCAATCTACTACTGCAGCTGCTGCTCCAACTCCTTGAGGTGCTTCACAAGCCGTCGTTACCGGTCACGAAGAGTCGTGGCCTCATGGGCGCCAATATGGGTTGCGGAAGCCCCGCCCTTGGTCGATTCTAGCAGATTGCAGAAGACGAACGACTTCACCCTTTGCTTCGTCGAACCCTTTCGTCGTCCTTTTTCGTCTGAATTTTTTAATCTTATTTAGTTAGGTGAAAATGAGATTTTGGGAGATTAATTAAGGTAATTAAGTCTCCAAAATTTGAAGTTAAGGGCAAAATAGTTTGCTGACTAGGAGGGTGGGGCCAAAACATAACGGATAGAAGACGGAAAAAAGACAGAAGGGTGTGTAAGTGTGTTTGTTAGCACCAAAATTGTACAGAGATGTGTTTGTTAAACAAGATAGTAGAGGAGTGTGTTTGTTAAAATCACCAAAGTAGAGGGGTGTCTTTAGTCATTAATCCTTTATTTAATTATTTGTTTTGGTTATATAAGAGTTTAATTAGTAGTTTTAGTTATTATTTAATTAGTATTATGTTTCCTACATAGTTTAGGATTTGTTTTCCTATTTCTTTTAGGTTATATTTATGTTTTTGAGACCTCTATAAATAGAGGGTGTGAGAACTACGAATTTAGTACCCAACATTCAAAGTTATCAATTAAAGAGTTTTTATTCGTGTTCCTTTGTGAACGTTTGTGCAAGACTTCTGTCGAGGATTCCAGGAGATTGTACATGTCTCTTATCAACTAGAGAACGCATCTAGTTGTGGCGAGCATCTACCCTATATCAATTGCCCCTTTCCACGAGTTGATTTTGTCTGAATGGTTTAATGTACCAATTGCCCTTTGTCACGAGTTGGGATTGTCCGATTGATTCCGCATCTATCTTTTATTTCAAGTTGGAGAAAAGCTTCAAAAATCCTTAGAAAGAAGGAAGGTTGTATACTTTGGTCATATCATCCGAGTTCGAGGGTTCTCTTCGGATTTGGATCATATCACGAACCCTAACCCTGAAGTAGGGTAAGCCTAGATCCCCGTGGTACGATAAATTCTTATTGCTTGTTTGACCCTACACCCGGTCGGCGGTTATACTTGACCGTCGATCGAGATATTGTAGTTACAACGAATCAGGGATAAGCGCCTTTATTTACTACCTATGGTCCAAACGACACATTTGTCATCACCATATACTAGTGTCATCATGAATATATCAAGTTAAAAAATCTCGTCTCTCTTACCTACACACTGTGAACCAGGTATTTATATTCTATTTTCTTTTCTTGTTTAATGTTTCATATATAGAGAAGATGCGAATAAATGACACCACAGATACTTCTGCCAAATCTGACAACACCACTGCAAATTAGCAAGTTTAAGAATCATTTGTTTTATTACACTAGTTCTTGGAGTGTCATTTTGTTAAACTCCTATCTAATGAACAGTGGAAATTATGAAGATTGGAAGGTCCAACGTGCACTCTGTAAATGAAAATTAGTTAGGCTACTTTGAGATTGAATAAAAAGACTTTTGTCTTTTAGTTAAATAGTTCTCGTTTAGCTTTTTGCATAATATTTTGGAACATGTGGGTTTTAAGAATTGTGGAGTATTTAAATTGGGATAATTTGATTAGTTCTTTTTATGTAGTTACATTTTTTTAATTCTTGTGTTGTCCTTTACGAGTGATTTTATTCGAATGAAAGATTAGTCGGTCCAATGGGATGGTCCAGACCGAATTGAGCCGTATATAGTTTGCTCTGGACCGAATCGAAGTAATAACGATTCGACCTTGGTCCTTGATTTAGAAGAAATTTTGGTCTAGTCCGAGGATAGTTTGGTTTGGTCTTGGACCGAATCGACCGATGCCCACCCCTAACTAGAATGATAATGTGACGGGTTGTGAATTGTGATGGATAATTTATCATGGGGAGCGGGTCGAACTATATGAAAATGTAATATAAAGGAAAACATAAGTAATATTTAATTTTTCATTGAAAATAAATAACAAACTATAATATGATAAATACAGTTAAATTATTCGAGAAATCTAGATCTCGCATACTTACAACTTTATTGTAGCTAAAATATAAGGTCATGAAAGCAAAATTTCTAAGTAATCAAGTAAAATTACATGTAATTTATACAATTACGGATCGAGAATAAGACGAGTCCGGACAGATGGGTTAAAAAGAGTACCCATACTTGATTCCCACGCCTATGAGACGAGTACTACCTGTCTGAAAATAGATCAAACAGATCAATAAATAGGTCGAAATTTCCATTCCTACTTACACACTAAGTTTCTATCGAAATAGTCACTAATTATTCATTACCAGAATAAGATAATGATAATGTTGATAAGAAGGAAGAAACTATATGATGACAGAGATAGATGTTTCGCTGATGAAAATTAAGGCATTGTTATTAGTGGGTATCTGTATGTTGTTTAGTTTAGTCGATGAATAGGTTATGATGTCGGATAGTTTTATGATGTATATTTCTTTTCATTTTTTTCAATAATTAAATGATTTGGATTATTTTATGATATTAAAAATGTTTCATACTTTGTCTGATGGTAATTGTTGCTTATGTCAATGGACCAAATGAACACGACCATTGGTCGGGCTCTAATTTATTTTTTTTATCTATAAAATTTATGAAGTATATTCATGAATCCAAATTGTAGGGATTCAAAAAAGCTGTCTCCTGAGAGCTTCACGGAAAGACATTTTCGTCTTTTCATTCCTAATTTAATGAAGTGTAGCGTTTCAAACTTTCAATATGTTCACTTGCGCCCTACTTCATTTAATTAAGGCATTGTTATTAGTGGGTATCTGTATTTTGTTTAGTTTAGTCGATAAATAGGTTAGGATGTCGGATAGTTTTATGATGTATATTTTTTTCAATAATTAAATGATTTGGATTATTTTATGATACTAAAAATGTTTCATACTTTGTCTGATGGTAATTGTTGCTTATGTCAATGGACCAAATGAACCCGACCATTGGTCGGACTCTAATCTATTTTTATTATCTACTATAAAACTAGCTTTTTACCCGCCCGTTGGGCGGTGCATTCGTATTGTTGTTTTATTTTTAGTCTATTATTTTTTTATGATTTATGTATGTTAAACTATTATACATTGATTTGTTAATCTCACTTACTTGATTTTAGGTATTGTTACATACTTTTATATCTTTTGTTTATTTATCAAAATTTGATTTTATTAAATGAGCTCTCAGTAGATCTTTATTTATTTATTTATTTATAAGTTAGTATCGAACCCACAATTCAGGATATATACATAAGAGATTATTAATGTTTTAACACACAATAGTGACAAAGAAGTTTAAAAAATGAATTAAGCAAATATGTTTCAATTAATAAAAAAATAAGCAAAGAGATTTTCATTTCTTCTCCCTTCTCGTATGTTGGTATGATAATACATAATATCGCGCTCTAAATCCCACGAACATCGTGCACTATCAGTTACTTGTGCAATTTTGGAAGAATGAGAAAATGCATTTGCATCCACATCATCAATCTTCAGCTTATTCAGTTAATTTATCTTTAAAATGTTCTAGCAAAACCAACCAAAAATATAACTATTAGTTGTCACTAATTTATTAAAACAATATTTTTCAGCAAACTAAATTGCATATAAACACAATTTATATTTGTAGAGAGCTACATACCCCCTTCAAAAATAAAACAATGGTGTATTTTTTTTACCTAATAACAACATAGACGAATTGTAAACCTCAACTCATTGTATCTTGTAAAATCTTCATTCATGAACACGGTTGATGCATCAATCCAAATAGTTGTTGTCAAGAAAACGATCAGGCTAAAATCAAATTTTAGTTAGAGATTCAATTAGGCAAAATTTCACGCGAAGGAAACAAACAAATGTCATTGCAAACGTGTAAAAATTGAAAGAACGTCGATTTGAGCAAGGAAATTTACGATCAAGCCGTTGTAATATGGAAGAAATTAAGAAACAAATTGAAAGAAGAGTTTAATATGGCTAGTCAACCACAAACAACTACATATCTCTAGGAAAAAGAGATCAGTTGTCAGCTACAGATCAAGGGTGAAGAGGGAGGAATGAGCAATCATCGACTTCATTCAATTCGTCTTCACAATGATAGGATGAACTTTTTTGTCAATAGTCAAATATATGTTACAGTAGCTCAATTGTTTCCCATCTAATCATTGTCTTATATAACTCCATCCTCGTATTCTGTTACAAAGAGTAAAACCTCAATATGCCTTACTATTTCCTTTCATGTATCTGTTTGAAAAAAGTAGAGAAAAGAAATGTTATAAATCTCAGGATTTTGAGCAAATAAAAAGAGACGTTTGTTTGTTTTTATGGGGCTTGATCCAATTTTTTATTTTCTTATTTTCAATATTGCGCTTTATTTTTATAGAGAGAATTAATATGAGAAAAGGGATAGAAACAAACCAAAATGTTGCATTCTGTGTTATTAACTTAATTTATGTTTTATTTATAGTGATGATAATTTAAAGAGTAAACAAAAATATATATAAGCAAGAATTAGAACTTGTCCATACTGGAAGGGTGAGAGCTAACCATTCGTTGATGTGACACTAATTTAGTTTTTAATTCCTATAATATTAAGTAATGATGGTTTACAATTTTTTGAATTTTTTTATAAACTTTAAGAATTCATACAATTATTGTGACATTTCACATACATTTGAATACTCAGATTTATTATAGACAAATTTATTGTAAATACAAATTGCTTATTTTACAAAATAGAAAATTCCTATTTGATACTTTGATATTGAAAAGTTTTATTATTGCCAAAAGTTGGCATTGAGTCATAGACTCGCACCATATAACCAAAGGATTTATTATAATTGCCTTATCAAGTTCATTCTTATTAGAGATTCTTCATTTTAACCCAATACCTTGATTTAGATTCTTGTAAACATAAAAGTTTTTTGTTTAGATATCTCAACTAACACACTGATATTTATTTATTGTCTCAATCCTCAAATTTTGATTTGTCTAAAAGACATTCAACTACTAATGAAAATTGTCCAATCCTTATTTGATCAATGCCTAGGTTAGTGATTGATGAAATGTGATATTTATCATATATTCTCAACAAAGATTCATTTAACATTCACATGTGTCATTTTTTAAGGTATATTGTGTCTCGTCTTAAGGTATGAAGTCAAAGTTCGTCAAAACTTATACTTAAGTCATTTTGAGAACTTTGATATATAATCCTCGACAATAACTCTAAATCTGAAAAGAAAATTTATTAGCATACTATTTATGACCTCAATTGAGTTTTCTCAACCAAAATCAGCTAAATCAAATATTTTAATGTGAACTTAAACCAAATTATAAAATATTGCACATGTAATTACTTTTCATTTGAGAAATTTCAGGTAGAACTTGAATATATGTTTTCACTTCATCAGGATGAATACAAATGTTTTTAAGAAATTATTATTATTACTCGATCAAGTTATATTTTGACAATTATTTTATTATATGAAATAATTATTTATATAACAATTATTTTAATTGGTAGACATATATATTATAAAGAAGAGAATGTTTAATATATAAATTCATATATTTCATTTCTCAAATTTGATTGATTGTCAAATGCTTGGTTTGTCTCTTTATGTTATTATAATTTATTTAATAAACAACTTTTTTTTCATTCCCGAGGAAGTTTATATTTTTCTCGAGTCCTCTCCCCTAATGGTACAGAACAATAGTCATTGGAGTAGATACACAAATCACTTTTAATACAAGAAGCCGAGTAGGCGGATTGATTCGAGTGGAGAGGGAAAAAAACTACGGATTCGAGCCATAGTACATGGTTTCATAAAAGCGTATGCTTTTCCCGATCTAAATAAAGCGGGTTTTCCATGAAGAAGACTTGGCTTTGGCTCAACATGTTATATTCGATACGTGTATGTACTTATTTAAATTTTTCATCAAAATGAGTAGATAATTCACTTGATAAGATTTAATCATATATTTGTGTAAACAAACCCGATATATGTCATTATTTGTTTTCATCTTTATATTTTGTTTAATTGACAAAAAATATTATTATTTATGTTTTTTTTATTTATATTTCAATATAACTTATTATTAATGTTGAGTAAGCATAAATACTAAAAGAAGAGAGAGATAGCTTAATAAATAGGTCAATAATAAATTTTTTTGTTAGTAAAAAAAATGTCCACCTTGGCAACTTGTTATTTCTCCAAGTGCTTATGTGGCAAGATGTTACTTTTGAATTGCCATAATATATAGTATAGATAGATATAGATAGATAGATAGATAGATATATATTTATGAAGTATATTCATGACTCCAAATTGCAGGGATTCAAAAAAGCTGCCTCCTGAAAGCTTCACGGAATGACATTTTCGTCTTTTCATTCCTAATTTAATGAAGTGCAGCGTTTCAAACTTTCAATATGTTCACTTGCGCTTCGATAGGAGACTCACTTACTTGGGCCTCAACCTCAAATGGGCCAACCCGCCCAAGTTACAGTTCGAGCAGCCGAGTCCATTCATGGGCCTACGGCTAATGGGTTATTCCACGAGACAAACAACGGCCTGTAAGTTTATAACCCTCCCATTATGATAGCCCAATCACGATCTGTAAAGATACTAATAATAGAATTACGTTAAAAAAAGCAAAAATAAAACAAAAACAGAAAATCCAAGAACCAAGAACTGAGGGGCAAATTCGTCATTCAAGCTCCTTCACACCATTGGCCGGCATGGCCGCTAACCGCCAAAAAGAAGAACCCTACGCTCCTCCAACGGAAATCCACGTGTCTACATTCGTGGATCGACAATATAAAACGAACTGTCTCCCCTGCCTTCTTCCCCCTTATCACATTTCGTCTTCACCATTAGCAAACAGTGTAACCAATTTTCCCGCGTTTTCCAGTTTCCACCGCTGTGAGCGAGAAAGAGAGAGAGAGATCACCGATTCTGCTTCCAATGGAAGGTCAAGCGCTTACGGCTCCGCTTCCTCAGAAAGATCCCGATAGCAGCAGCAGCAACGTGAAGTCTCGCGCCATGGAGAAAGAGAACGGCGCCAAGAATCTCTCCGCCACCGCCGCCGTTCCAGTGTCAGAGATTCTCGGCGACTCCACCATCGCCATTGACGCCGTCGCTTCGGCTACTGCTGGTGTTGCTGAAGGAACACAGAAGAAGGCGAGGAAGAAGAGGACGTCGCGGCAACTCATCAAGGTCTCCAACACCAAGAATCCCTTCATCTTCTACCTCAACCTCGCCAAGGTAAGAAAAGAGCAAGGAAAACTCGAGTAGATTAGTATGCTTTAATTTCGTTGAATACGATTGATTGAGGGAATTCGGTAGAATTATTGAGAATCTTCATCTTTCTCGCATGGATCTTTCAGTCTCTTTCCTGTTTTCCCTTTTGTGATTTCTGGTTTTGGCGGTGCTCTGTTTGGGAGAAAATTAGGCGTCGAAGCGACGATGACTAGACCGCCATAGTGAACGGTGCTGCCGTAGAGTAATTTTCTTGCGAAAATAGGTTTTCATTCTTTGCGCATTTTTCTTTGTGCGGTTGCGCCGCCTCCGGAGCTTTTTCCGGCGTTTGAGTTCGTGATAATCGTTTGTCAAATCTCTTTTGCAACAAATTTAGGGTTCTGGACGTGAATGTAGTGAGTGTCGTGAATAATACGCCGTTCTGTTGTTGCAGAGGCACATCAAGCAGTACAACTCTGTCGAGCTCTCTGCTCTTGGAATGGGTATCGTTTTTTCTCGAACGCTCTTCTTTTATCTATACTCTCGTCTCTGTGATAAGTTCTTGTACATTTTCTTGATTCTGGAATTCCTCAGTTTAATCTAGCTTCTTTCGCTTAGTTGCTATGATCTGCGTCTCTTCAACCCTGTTCCCCTCCAGAAGTTCTCCGTCTCTTTAGTTATCTGTGGCTTTTCGAGATTATGATCGAAAATGCGTCTAAATTGGTTGTTGCTTGCTTTGTGGGGTTTGTGTTTGGGTACCAGCTATTCCCACCGTGGTCACTATCGCTCAGAATCTGAAGCGCAATGGACTGGCAGTTGAGAAGAGTATGTTTTTTTCCGCTCATTCCTTGACATAACCATAACCTTTTCCCTGATGCAACCCTCTTTTTCCTTTAGTGTTGACTGAACCACGTTTCATATGGTAACAGGTATCAAGATCTCCAGCGTTGAATCCAAGGACACTCAGACTGGCCGATTGGTTCAGAAGGCAAAGGTGGGTATATATCTACGTTGGACGATGTTCCCTTTTGGTTACTCGAGTGGATGATACAATGTATAACTGTTAACTCCATTTCCATCTCTTCTTATCTGGATAATTATAGATTGAGATACTGCTGGAGAAGGCGGCTGAGAAACCTGATGAGACCTCCGCAAACTCTTCTTTTGCTGCTACTGTCCCTGAGGCTGCTACCTTGCTCACCGTCTTGACCATCTGACTGCAACCCTGCCAGTAATATGAGACTTCTTGTTGTTAATTCTCAGTCTCCTGTTTTGTACATGGATAGTTGAAGCTCTGCTGTATTGGTTGGTTCTAGTGTCCATTTACATTTTCTGCCATTGCCGAGGAAGAACTTGTAACAGAGGTGGTAGTCTTGGCCTCTTTGCTGGCAGATGTTCTCCTTGTGTTTCGTACATTTCGTGTATTTTGCAATTGTCCAGGCCTAATGGACTAGAGAGTACATCTCACTCACATGTACTTGAATTGTGAATAGACAACAGTTCATTTCATCAGGAAATTGAGAAGTTGGAAGTACTTTTGCTTTACTGAAATGTCTTTGCTTTCATGAATATTTAACTTTGACATTAAGCTTTGAGAGGCAAGTACTTTCTTGTGATTAGTCTTTAGAAGTAAATGTCAAGGTTCAGGAACTATGAACATAACATGGTAAGAGTGGGATAACAATGGGGTTAAAATCTAATCCTTTATTGAAATTCATGGCACATACATTCCTCCGACATCAACCGCGCTGTCTTGAATTGTTAAGTGCAGCATTTTACAACGAGGGCCCGGGAAGTGCATCAATCTAGTGACAGCTTGGCGAGTGTGAGGGCAAGTACTTTGACTCCGTTGGCTATATCCTGACTAGCAGCATATTCTTCAGGTTTGTGGCTGTATCCTGTAAAACCCAACTAACAAAGGTTAGGTCAGTAGTTTGTTGGTTGTCGAGGTAATACTGCATAAATAGCTCCTGATGGACAAAACTACCTTTGAAGCATGGAATGAATAGCATGCCCATTGGAGATATCCTGCAAAAGTTAAAAAAGATTTGCAGAGGCAGTCGGTTGTTCGTAGTAAAGAATAAAGAAGACAGCTATAGCAGTTCATGTATGCATGTGATTGTGAAGGGCTTTCGTACCTGGCCATAAACAGGGAATCATGATAAGCTCTGCTTATCATCAACTTGTGAGGTAAGTTGAGCTCCTTCGAGGTATCTTCCATAGCCTTAACTATAGATTTATCCGATAAAGCTGGTGGATCTTGATTCACTATTCTGAATTCTGTAAGTGACACACTACGTTTTTTGGCTATTGCAACTGCAGACTGATGAATTTTCTCTATCACTTCATTTCTTCGTTTCTCATCAATGTCCCGGGTATCTGCCACATAGAAAAACACTGATCAGGATTATGTTCATACAACAAGTATATAAGCTTCTGGACCCGATAAATCATACCAATTTCCAGGTGTGACTTGCTTGGGATGCTGTTGATTGCTCCAGGATGAAGCTCCAGTATACCTGTTCAAGTATGAACTATTTATTAGCTTTGGAAAACATCTTCTAATCAAAGGGTGAAGCTACGACCAAAAGAGTGCAAGGCTGTGCCGGTACGAGAGTAAAACATACCTACTGTACCAACAGTATCAATTGAACCAGAATCTAAAACATGTTTCTCAACAGCTAGTGCCAGCTCAGCAGCTGCAAGCCCAGCATCATTTCTGATTCACAAAATCCAATTCTTATCAATATCAATTACGAAAATATGTGTACCATTCTTCAGAGTCAAAGGATTTGTAAATGTGAAGGAAGACTGTAAAAGTTAAGATGCATGGCACAATGTACCACCAGATGATTAAAAGGATTACCTATTTGGCATCAAGGCAGCACCAGCATGGCCTCCATTGCCTTCAAAATCAACCTTGATGCTTGCAGGAGCTGCAATTGCAGTTACGATACCAATGGACAAGCCTGAATCGAAATAAGATCGATGTGGACAAGTGAGGATCAAGACTATCTGTATACCGAAAGGGGAAGTTGGAAAGGGTTATAAACCTACCTTCTGCCTCCAGAATAGGACCCTGTTCTATATGTAGTTCCAGGAAAGCAGAATAGTTCCCGCTATTTAGGAAAACATTGGATAAGTCATCTTCGCCCTTCATATACCCAGCATATCTAGCAGCATCCACGAATGATATATTTTGACCATCAACTGTTGTTTTCTTCAAAGCTTCAGCCAGCACCTTGCTCCCAGCCAACAGTCGGCTTTATGTCAAAACATAGCAGATAAACATACACTCTAAGAGCTAGCAAATTTAAAAATTCCCATTTCTAATCAACAACAAGCAGCTGGTTTCACCTTCCCAAGCAGCTGATCCCAAATCTTGTTGGTTCTTCTGATGTGAATAAGATAACTTCTAGTGATCTCTTTGGTCGGAACCCTGATCTGTGTCAGGAAGTTACTTGCTAAAATCAGCAACGCATAAACTTCGATTGATGATACATTTTATACCAAAACTGTGTTAACCCTAAATAAAAGGTACCTCTTTAGTACATTTAGAGCTTCTATTGCACCCAAGACACCAACAACTCCATCATACTTTCCAGAGTATGGAATGGCATCAATGTGAGAACCAGTTGCAACTGCTGGGAGCCCAGGCTCGTAGCCATCCCTGCAGAAAGAGAAGGCAAGACTTGAAGCGCATGGAAAAATAAACCAAAACCAAGCTAACATCCAAATGAGACCATCGAGCTCCATTCACCTACTCTCGGTTTACATAGTTATCATCAACATCATGGATTAATTAAGCAAACAAGACTTACCATCGGCCGAATATGTTGCCTACAGCATCTTCTCTCACTGAGAGGCCAGAGAGTCCCATCAAATTTTTTATGTACCTGCAATTGTCACCCAACAAACTCTTAAATACACTTCAACAACAACCTATAGACGAACTTCACAAGGCTGCAAAACCCTTTTGTGGGAAAGAAAAGAGATGAATTAGCAAACCAAAAGGCCGCTCCTTTCATGTTCAAGTACACCAACCCACAAGTGAACAACAAGAAGAAAACACACAAAAACTCGTTGAATCATTCCTACTCAGTACTCACACTATCACGCACAAAGGAATCGCCATTGAAGTTATTTACCTGCGGGCCAAGACATCCTTGTCAGAATACAAAATCCTAGTGACCGATGGAGCTGGTGTATCCGAGAAGGTCGAGAGCTCATCAATCTAGCAAACAGCAGACAAAAAAAAAAAAAAACGCCACAATTCTCTTTAACCAACTCAAGAATCAACTTTAAGTAAGAACTCCTCCACCCAAATTCAATTGAAAGGAAGGAGAAAGGCCCTCGACTTCGTTCAAGTACCTGTCTCTGCAGGCTATCGCCGTCCACCGAGAGTGAAGTAGGTAGAGAGCTTGAACCACCAAAAGGGTCGTTTCTTTCGTGAAGTGGGTACCCAGAGAAATCCTCCATGGTCTTGATCGTGGCGTCTTCATATGCCTGTGCTGAGACTAAAGAGCAGATTAGGCTGAGCAGGAGGAAAGGGAGAGAGCTGGAAGGAGCAAGTCTCGGATACGCCATTTTCTGTCACAGAGCAACTGTACATAGGAATTCCGAGTATAAAATCAATCGGCTGATGGAGTGGCGAGTGCGTTACTCATGTCGTTTTGTGTTTGTGGCAAGGTTGTCAAACCGGTTTATGCCAGTGTGCCGGTTTAGCAAGTGGAATGGTTCGACCGGTGGCACATACCGGTTTGTGTCGGTTCATGCCGGTCAATATTACAAATAAAATTATAAATACTCATTTTAAACATGACATTTAACATCAATACCTAAATATTTATACTTGAAACCAACAAATAACATCAATATTTAACATTTATACTCATAAAATAAATAATAAAATAATTTTTAACAATTAAAGTCACTAAAATAAGGTTATTTTACTTAGAGATTCGTATATCGATCATACCGGTCATACCGGTGGTGTCACGCCGGTTTTATGACCGGTACAAGTTGAACCAGGTACAACCGGTGGCACGCCGGCCGGCGTGACAACCCACTTTGTGGTGGAACACTGACAAGTGACAAACTGCTGAGATTCCTCTGCTTCGCATTTGCAGCAATGGTGGCGATTTTGGATTTTTCTCCCCTATTTTTGTTATTTTACTAAACCTTTGAAGTCGTTAGGCTATCTTACGACTTAAGGCGAGACCATTAATTAATTATTATTATTTTATTATATAAAAGTCTTAGATGTGTCCACTGTTCATTAGTCGGGCCACGCTCCTTTCTGCGAGTCGTGGAGTTCCACGACTTAACTCCGCATTGGGCCACATGCCTCCCTTGCTCCTCTCACGCAAAAAAACAACCCACCCTTTTACCCCACTCACTCACTTTGTCTGCCGAAAATTGCCTTTGACCGCCGGATTTTTCAGGCGCAAACTACTCTCTCCTTCTCTCTGAATCAACCTGCTCTCTGCTACACTCTGTCCTTCTCCTTTGCGACCTGTCTTCTCCACCTCGAAAAATAATCCCTTCCCTTCTCTACTCTTACACGCTAACAACGCCGCAGAAAGGTGCCTTACTCCTTGGAACTCGCCACAGAGATAAGCATGCTTCCTCTACTTTCATTCCTCCCAAAAAATCTTCCTTTACAACACTTCCCATACCAGTGCGCCGCTGCATTCTCCCCTTCCTAACCCCTCTATGCCACTTCCAGCCTAGGGTTTGCCTTGCCGCGCGCCACCGCCCATCGCCGTGACTGCCGCTCCACTTCGCCACCTGCCGACCCTCCTCCCGATTCACCAGCCGCCATCCCTGCCCGACGTCGTCACCCAACCACCAAAATATCAGCCGCCCCTGCTCCCACATCAGGAGACCCGACTCCCGGCACTTCACGCACCCTCGCTAACCGCAGTGCTCGACGATCCAACCCCCCACCGACCCCAACAGCTGCAGTCCCGCCTCCCACCTCCTCGCGAGGCGCCAGTCGCCGCCATGACGGCCGCGTTCCCCAATCACCGCCCCCATCCCCTGAAGACCATGAACCCGGCTCGCCGCGATGGAACACTCACAAGTTCCTCCTTGACGTTACCGACGCTGACAGGGATATTGCGCTCAAACTTCGCCTCTTGCATGTTTGGAATTCCTATGCGGCTTCTGATCCAACCAAACTCTTTAACTACTGCACTCTTTGGTGCGATGCAATGGTAAACACATTCCTGCTAACCTTACTCTGCCTAGCTGCTTTCCTTCTTGACGTTCTTCTGCCGTATTGCAGGGCACACTGATTCATGGGGAGGCCCCCATCACTCTTGCGAGGGATTTTGCCGATCTCATAACAGTCAGCAAGATCTACGTTATTTGGGGATTTGACCTGCAACCTCCACGGCCTGTGTGTAAGCCATGCTCGCACCACCTCCAGATGGTTTTCTCCCGCAGCTCGACCTTCGACGACCAGACTGCATCCTCACCTGATTTTTTGTCTGTTTCTTTTGAATTCGTTCCATTCGGTTCGCTGCACCCACGCACCCTCAAGGGTTCCCAGCTTACAGGTCTTGATCCGCCCTTGCCTTCTTACCCTTTCCATATGCTCTTAACTAATTAATAGTTGCTTTGTTCTTGCTGCAAATATAATAGACAGGGTGGTTAGCATCTCGGGTGTAACTCATTACAAGACCAGACATGGCAGGAGACCTCGCCAAGACATCGTTCTGGAGGATTCAAGATACATTTGATCCCCTGTACTCCTATTTGAATCATTTAGTTGTTTGTTGCTTTACACACATTCCTATGCATGTTCAGTTTACTCATGCTCTCTTATGTACAACTATGATTTCACTCTCTCGTCTTCGACCTAATACCAGTACCCGGTGCTTACTCCCTTGTCCTTTATAGTTGTGTATGCATTGCCTTTAGGTCGTCAAAGTTTCTTAACTTTCCTACCCAGCTGTTAGATTCACACATGCACATACAAACTAATGCTAGGGCTAGCTTTCTCCTGCCAATATTCTTCAATGCCAACACTACTTTTAGGAATTCAGTTTGCAAACTCATTGTGTATGCTATTTTGCTCTTTCAGGTGTTCCCTTTTCACACAACCAAAATACGTACCATTCACACTGCTCCTTTACTATCTTCCTGTAATCTTATTTTACCTGTTACACCTCTTTCCTAGCGCCTGCATGCCTCCTTGCTTCTGTTCCCAGTTAAGCTTTGCCACACTATCCTGTTTTCTTGCAGTTTGACTCAGGTAAAGGTGGCGTTGTGGGGTCCGCTGGCAGGATCCATTGATGCTCTACAGCTTTCCCGATTGGGTCGCAAAAAACCTATGATACTTGCATTGAGTGGTCTCACTATAACGGAGTTCCGGGGTTTGTTACATATTGCCCTTTTCTTTCAAATTCATTTGCAAACACTGCTGCAATATTTATTCTTATTTCGCTCATACTCTATACTCTCTTTTCTTGCTTTAGGTACCTACTCTCTTTCTAATACCTCTGCAACTCGCCATGCTATTGAACCTGTTTCTGAATAGACTTACGAACTCCAAAGCGTGTATGACTACTTCCTGTTCTCTCCTTTACGCATATTCCTAAAGAAATTAAATACTTTCCTTTTGTGTCAGCAGCTTCCATGCCATGCGGGACAGTGTGACATATGTGCGTCCTCGATTCCCTACCGCTGTAGCTGCCGCTGAATTTGAAGAATAATCCACTCGCACCGTGAAAGAACTACTTCGACTAGCTACACTCAGCCAGCCTGATGTAATACGCTCGCTAACACTTCGCTTTTTAGCTTTTTCCACAACCTAAAGCCCTCTCTAATACCCTAATTATTTCACAGGAAACTCAATACCATTGCGATGTTACTGTTCTTGGAATTGATTCTACCAGACAATGGTACTACATAGTCTACTCATTCTTCTTATCTGCCACATGGATCTATGGAACTGCATACTGGTGTAAGTGGCATCGCCGCATGGAAGCTTCTGAAGTCACGTTCTGGTATTGCTCTTGCAAGCTTCTTTTCCAAAACCTCTCTATTTATTATTTGTCTACCTTATAGAGCTTCATTCAAACGGAATTTCACAACTATAGGGTAAAATTGATTGTCGATGACTCAACTGCAACTTCCAACTTTATTCTGCTTGGAAAGACTGCTGAAACCCTCTTTGGTGCCACTGCTTCTGATTTGGCCGAGCTCTTCCCGTTTGGTCGCTGCGAAATGCCACCAAATATATTGGCCATACAAGACCAGCGAGTCTCCTTCGACGTCCAACTACCTGATGCAGACTTCTTGGGAACTGACGCTCTTGAATTCCGTGTGGTACACTCGTACATCATAGATTCTCCTGTCCCACCACTTTTGCATCAACCGTTTTCAACTCCAAAGCGTCTGGTTCTCCCCCTTTTATGCAAGGCTCCTCCTCTCATAGTTCACATAACCAACTCCCATTAACACAATTCCCTTCCCGACTTTCTGCTTATTGCAGCTGATCCACTGCCTATCTTTTGGACTTGCTTTGTTGTTACTGCATGAATCGGTTTCGGTTAATCCCTATAATGTACAATGTTCCAGGCACCTTGCTGCGCACCATGGTACCAACTCACCAAAAAAACCTGCTGCCACCTCTTCTCCACGAACTCCCTCAAAACCTGCAGCCTTGCGGTACTGCCTACCTAACGTTGTTTATTGCTTCATTTCCAATTTCGGGTTTTAGAACTAACTTCTAATGCTGCATTACTTTTTTCCACTCCGGCCCAAAATCGAATGGCAGCCCTTATCCAATGGCAGATATCACTCCTGAATCTGCCATTTCACCCAAAGAGCGGTTGAGGTAACTCCTTTATGATTCCTTTGCACTTTTCACCGTTTCTTTGATAAGCACAACTTCAGAATTTGCGTTCTACATGCCGCAGGATACTTGCAAAAGGAAAGTCAATTTCAAATGCTTCGCCTTTGCACGCTGCTCACAGGTATCCCAGCATTGCACTGCACCTACAAGTTTGACTTCGTACTACTTTACAAGCTGTGAAGTTTCCTCTTTAACTTCTAATGCTGCACTACTTTGCCTTGCACTCCGACCCAAAATTAATTGCCAGCCCTTCTCCGTTGCCTGCTGTCACTCATAAATCTGTCATTTCGCCCAGAGAACGGTTGAGGTAACTGCTCTATGATTCCTTTGCATTTATCACCATTTCTTTGGTCAGCACAGCTTCAGATTTTGCGTTCTACATGCAGCAGGATGCTTGCAAAGGGAAAGTCAATTGCAGATGCTCTGACTTTCCACGCTGCTCACAGGTATCCCACCATTACAACACACCTACAAGTTTTACTTTGTGCTACTTTACACCACAAGGAGATTGCCTCTTTAACTTTACTATCTACCTGCGGGATGTATTCGTAGGGGACCTTCACCACTATCTGAGTGCCTTCCTACCCACTCTTCTTCTCAAACAATATCACTTGAAGACTCAGACTCTGAAGGCGCCCCTGCATCTAAATCCATTCCCCTTGAACCAAGAAAGTCGCAAGTCTCTCCAGGAATTGGGAAGAGGTAGTTCCTCTGCAACTCAACATGGATTTGTATCGCGTGTTTTGTTCCTAACAC